TCTAGCAGGCAAACACAACACTGTCTGGCAGACAAACACAACACTGTCTGGCAGACAAACACAACACTGTCTGGCAGACAAACACAACACTGTCTGGCAGGCAAACACAACACTGTCTGGCAGGCAAACACAACACTGTCTGGCAGACAAACACAACACTGTCTGGCAGACAAACACAACACTGTCTGGCAGACAAACACAACACTGTCTGGCAGACAAACACCAAACTGACTATCAATTTAATATATACAGAGAAACAACGTCAAAACAATCAAAAATTTCGGACGGTGAACTCAATGTGCATGAATTGGGGCTCAAACCAATGGAACACTGCTGTAGGCAAGACACAGGTTCCCACTCTCACAGATGCCAGGGGTTTCTTACACCAACGTTAACAGTGTGTGACAGATTGTAATGCATATGGGGCTTCTTGTTTCAGGCTGCACAGCTCTGGTTATGTAAGAACAACAGAACAAAGGTAAATACTGTACTGGTATCGGATATTTTACGCTTACTAGGCCTTGGAACTAAACACACCGCCTTTTACTAGGCCTTTGGAACTAAACACACCGCCACTTACTAGGCCTTTGGAACTAAACACACCGCCACTTAGTAGGCCTTTGGAACTAAACACACCGCCACTTACTAGGCCTTGGAACTAAACACACCGCCACTTACTAGGCCTTTGGAACTAAACACACCGCCACTTACTAGGCCTTTGGAACTAAACACACCGCCGCTTACTAGGCCTTGGAACTAAACACACCGCCACTTACTAGGCCTTGGAACTAAACACACCGCCACTTACTAGGCCTTGGAACTAAACACACCGCCTCTTACTAGGCCTTGGGAACTAAACACACCGCCGCTTACTAGGCCTTGGAACTAAACACACCGCCACTTACTAGGCCTTTGGAACTAAACACACCGCCACTTACTAGGCCTTGGAACTAAACACACCGCCGCTTACTAGGCCTTGGAACTAAACACACCGCCGCTTACGAGGCCTTGGAACTAAACACACCGCCGCTTACTAGGCCTTGGAACTAAACACACCGCCCAAATAACTGATCTGTTGTTTTAATTAACTTCTATTCAGTCTTGACCACTGTTAAAAGCTTCAGTGCATAAAATATTTCCATAAATAAATAATAATATTGAGTACTAAGGAGCAGGGTCCTCAAACTGTAGCCTTGCGGGCTAGATCCGGCTACCCTGTGGGTACCCGAGTAGCATTGACACAAATTTTGAGCCGTACAAATAATCATATATTTAGCCAAAGTCAAGTCAATACTTCCTATTGAAGTGCAAAATATGTTCATAAAAATTGTTCCTCATATTAAATATTGTGTTGTTGTGTTTCTTTCTACGCTACAAATAAGGGGAGTTCTATGTGCATGGGAATTTAATCATATTCTTTTTTCAAACTTCATTCTTCCCCCCCCCCCCCCCAAACACTATCTGAGCGACGGTAAACCGGTCACCTGTTTAAAACGTTTGAGGATCACTCATAAGGATGGATGCAACCAAGTCTGAAGTTTATAAAAGACGGGGGGGGGGTGGTCTTGGTTGGCTTCAAGTTCATAAGAACTAGCACCTGAACTTTTGTTGAATTCCTATAAGGGTGAATACACTATACCAGGCCTTCACAACATACGGCCAATGAGCACCCAGTTTGCAGCCCGGGACGTACCGAAATATTGTGTATTATCATTATCTTCTTATGAGCTTCCCCCCCCCATTCTCCTATCATCTTTCGGCCCGCACAAAATTATAAAAAAGGAGTCAAAATGGAGTCAAAATGGAGTCAAAATGGAGTCAAAATGGATTCAAAATGGACTCAAAATGGACCCAGACATGCAACGTCGCCATTCGCACCCAGCTCCCATTAGACTCAATGCTAATCGGATGTTATTTGTGGTAGTTTATTTTAGTTAAACTGAAGAAGTAAGTTCTAAAACATATAGTTCATTAAATTATCTTTCATGTGAAACCTCATTTTGTCTTATAAACCCAGCAATAATATTTTTAATAGTTTTTTTAATCCCAACCTCTCACTTCTGGTACCCGGGTACGAATAGTCGCAGCCTTTTTTTTATTTTTTTTTATTTTGTGTTTGCTTTTTTAAAGAGAAATTGCTAATAAGAATTTTGTTATAATGGCCCTGTTACTGGCATTTTGCGACTACTATCACCCCCCCCCCAATTCCCACTAACAAGTGCTATGGCCACTCTGCCGGGCAGTGGGACGTCAGTGAGAGTGTCGTTGGGTGGCCCAGGAACTAAACTTACCGCACATTCGTCGGTTAAAATGTACCGCTGTACATTTAAAACATACACACTATAAAAATTGTTCTGTAAATAGTAACACGTCTCTGGGCACTGAGTTAATGTAAGTTTCTTATAAACATGACGCCAGGCTGACCCTATTCCTTGCAATAGGACCTGAAGTTTGAATAATTCCTTCAAGCATTTAGACTTTTTTAGAGTCATGATCCTTTTTTTAGCATTCTTTGTTACCGGTAAAGCTAACATCTATACATCTGGTTCTGTGAAGTAAAACTAACATCACTAGATCTGTTTCTTTATTAAACCTAACATCACTGTATCTCTGTTTATTTATTAAACCTAACTTCACTAGATCTTTTTTCTTTGAGTAAAGCGTTTAGAATATAAATGGCCAGATCTGTCGACACGAGTGAATAGAATGCACATATAATACACTTATAATGCACAGTTAATGCACATAAAACGCAAATTAAATACTTGTCTTTGTATTTCAAGGGGGATAATCAGACGTAGTGATGACAAACAAAACTCTTACCAAACGGCAAATAGCAGACTGTCGGTATTGTCTCCCTTTTTTGTCTGTCTTTACCTCTCAGCCAGCGTTGGGGTTGAAACTCTTCTGGGCAGTTCACGAAATTCGAGTCCTTTAAGTAAGCTGTGTTGCTCAGCATGACTAGGGTCTGCAGGGGACATAAAAGCTAATTATTTTTTTCTGTAACACTGTTGGACATATTAAGTTATAACATGAAAAAATATTCTACAATCTCTGATTATGTACCCCTTAAAGGAACAGTAGCTCTTGTCCGCTTTTTTTGAAACAGCTGATAAAATTATGAACGAAATCAATCGATTAAAATCAAATCGATTAAACATCAACGAATTTCGTGTTGAAAAACGCAAGCTCCTAATAATTAAAGTAGTCATCGTTTATTGTGATAACGTCAGTCCAATACTTTGGGTCTATTAAGCGGCTATTCTAATTAACCGAAAATTCGACACATTTACGCGCTCATCAACAACCACTTATTGAAATGTCCTACTCAGAACTCACAACCTTCACAACTTCAGCAATATGTTTATCTTTTTGTCACAGCGATCTTTTTTTTTTCCCTTTTTCACTCACTATCTCATTTATTTGATGTCAGTTTCTGGTGAGCCAGACTGTTTGTATTTTTTTCCTATTCAACGCTCTAGCCTCTTGTTTAAAGATAATCCTGTGTGACGATGACGTTGGCCGCGAATTGTTGCCGGTGTGTTCTACGGGAAAGTTCTTTGCTCTGTTAAAGCACACGGAAGACCAAACAAAAATTGTTGCCGATGATTGATTGCCTTATCTTTATCTTTCCGCCAATTGGTGCGAGTTAAAAGAACAATTATCCCGTGTTAATTATGCCATCCCTTCGATCTGCGAAATCGACTCGAATATCCGAAAGTGAACCTAATAAACGGTACAAAATTATGTACATAATTTTTAAATTATTTTGAAACCATCGTTTGATATCTGATTCGATAAAGCGGTTGATTCTGATACCCGGTGTTCACAATAAACGGTGCCTACCGTACACTGAGTCAAGTCAATGAGCTTACCCCTTGAGGGACTCTATAACCAGACAAGGTAAGATCGTGAGGAAGAACACGGGCTGGACCAGGTGCCAGGGGAAACGTCACTCTTAAAAGATACAACAATTTGGTTGGATGTTAATCAGTGAGCGCTGGGTTTAGATGATGTTACTTACGACGCGAATTGTTCTAGGGACCAGTGCTTCTCAAACTTTTCAGTGTGATGGACCGTTAGAAAATGCCGACATAGCAGTAGGTATTAGCTCTAAATTGATTGATTTTCAACACTTTTTAATCTCCACCTTCGTACCGGCGAGTGGGGATCTGCGTACCGGTGAGTGGGGACCTGCGTACCGGCGAGTGGGGACCTGCGTACCGGCGAGTGGGGACCTGCGTACCGGCGATTGGGGAACTGCGTACCGGCGAGTGGGGACCTGCGTACCGGCGAGTGGGGACCTGCGTACCGGTGAGTGGGGACCTGCGTACTGTTGAGCAAAGATCTACCTGCCGGTGAGGGAGGGCTCGCGGGCCAGTGTTGACTCGCGGATCGCCATTTTGAGTAGCACTGCTAAGGCGATGAGAGTTGTGATCGAAGAATATTGCCGGAGTTCGCCAGGATAATGTCTAAAATGAGGCGTGCCGATGATGTGATTAACAATTACAACACGCATTACATTTTTGCTATAACCTCATGGATTCTTTGACACAAGCTTTTAAAAACTCCATCTGGGTGAGATGTTCCTTGGTGACTCGTCCATTACCCACAACGGTTCGGATCTCTTCATACAAGATTTGCTGTTGTTCTGGGTATTTACTCAGGTGAAAGAGAATCATACTCAGGTTCTTTGACGTCTGAAAATAAAAAAAAGGACTTAAAATCAAAGAAATGTTAATAAATTAAATGAAATTTATTGTCTAGGAAAATTTTCAAAACTAGTAACACTTTAAGCGTCTAAGACCAAAATAACTTATCGTGGGAATTAGACCAACGACATATTTTTAATATACTCAAAAATAACTTGCCGTATCTGTCCCTCCAAAGAAGAAATCCCCCATAGACGTGACCACTTCCTGTTCTGATAGGTTTGTGGTGGCCAATAGATTTTCAATGAAGTGAGGAAAATTGGGATCTTTGGCTTCCTTGTTGTTTAGCGCTTGGATTGTGCGGTTCACTTCTTTGGAGGAAATTCTGAGACAGTGGCAAAAAAATGTAAAGTATAAATTGGTTGTTTCTGTCATATAACGAGAACATTCCACGCGCAATGTTTAGCATGTGTTAAATCGTCACTATCTAAACTTCTATTAGCAATGTGCGAAAATTGTAGAGTCGACGGAATCAAAGACCCTCCTCACTGAAACAAAGTCTCGTTACGGTAGTGAATATATATATAGTGAATATAACAGGTCTATACAGAAACTGAATGTATGACATGGTTCTTACTCTAGAAGATGGTCCATGCTGAGTTCAATATTTTTGTAGGCCTTCGTCCTCCATATCTTGTAGAAAGGAAGCAGTGGTTGTTTGCAAAGGGTGGAGATCAATAGTTTGATCATGCGCACAGTCTCGTTGTGGGTGACTGATCCTGTTGTGAGGGCGCCGAGGCGACGGTTGAAACAAAATTGGTAAAGACCTGTTGTGTTACCAAATAAATATGTTTGTGCAATAGAATTTCCGTTACATAGCTCCTAAAATATAAAAAATGTGATCAATTGCAGTTAGGAGAATTTGCCATTCGGTATAGAGCGCTGACAGAGTTCATCTTAATTCTAATTTATTTATTTTTTTAAAAAAATTCGACTTAAGAATCGAAAAAAACAAAAAAACTTTTCATTAGAATTTCTTTATTGAAATTCAATTACATTTTTCTTTCTTTTTAAAGCGTTTAAAACATTTTAATTAAAAATTTGATTTTGCCTTTTTAAAAATTAAAGTTTGGAAGAATTGTCTCATTCCAGCGCGATAATTTGTAAACTTACAGGCGATTATGCAGTGATTTATTGAACTTGTTTTGAGATATTTTAATTACAAATTAAATACATTCAAATGAACACTCTCTTACATTCCATTACGTAAAGTAATACAATATCTCTAGAGTCCTGGTCCTTATCTCGGTGCTGTTCAAAATAAGCTACCAGATCGTCTGCAACACGGCCAATGGCCGGAACGTAAGGGTCAGCTGCTCCAGGTCTTAAAAAACTGGGCTGCACCCTCATCCTCAAGTGACGCCATTCTTCCCCATTCCTGCAACAGCAATAAAAATCCATGTGACAACCATTGCTAAGGTCAAGTCATGAGGTGTGTACAAATGAACAGAGGAGAAACATTCAAATAAAACATAGAAGGGCCTGACGGGCTCAGTAAATGTCTGAAGGCCGGTCCATCAACTGAGAATATATCTAAAGATTGTTCCGCGGACACGGTATATGTGGACACAGTATTTGTGGACACGGTACTCGTGGACACGGAATTTCGTGGACACGGTATTCGTGGGCACAGTATTCGTGGACACAGTATTCGTGGACAAAGTACTTGTGGACACATTATTCGTAGATACAGTATTCGTAGACACAGCATTCGTAGACACAGTATTCGTAGACACAATATTCGTGGACACAGTATTCGAATAGAGGATGGACAGTTACTTACATTGTTGCCAACGTTTTGATATTTTTAGCTTTGAAATAAGCCATGACCAAACCGAAACCCGGTCGTACTGGTGACCTGCCCTCGTTTTCAAGTAAGGTGAGCATGTCTTGTGGGTCTTTGAGTAGGACAGCATATCCCATTGGCAGACGAACCCGGACAATATCACCATATTTTCTGTGTAAATCTATCGCCATCATGTCTGGTCTCGACATTGAAACATCAGCTGGGGATTAAATAAGGCATCAAATGAACCAGTAGTTGGGAATAAAATAAGACACCAATTAGGGATCAATGGATTTAAATGAAACGTCCATTGGGTATTCAAGAGACATCATTTGGGACTTAAAGAGACATCATTTGGGACTTAAAGAGACATCATTTGGGACTTAAAGAGATATCATTTGGGGATTAAAGCGCCATCAACTGGGGATTAAAGAGACATCATTTGGGACTACTACTATTACTACTACTACTACTACTACTACTTCTACTACTACTACTACTGCTGCTACTTCTTCTGCTACTGCTACTTCTACTATACAGAAGAAACAAATAAATACTTAATTACAGTGTTCAAGGACAAAATACAGTGCCTCTTAAATCGTGACACAGTTGCGATAGAGTATAATCTTCGACGGCATTTTGAATCTAAACATCCTAATTTTTCAAAGTTGGACCAAAATGAAAAATACATTAAAGCAGCGAACCTATCGAAAAATGTCGACTAAAAGTAGACATTTTTCAAGAAGAAGAGCCTTGAAAATGAAGGCGAATTTGTAAAGAAGTGCATACTGATTGCCGCGTGTGAATTATTTTAGGAAAAAATGTTATTGCAAAACATCAGTTTATCGCGAATGACAGTGCAAAGAAGAATAACTGATACTTCCGCCGATATTCAAGAACAATTAAGGCAGAAAGCTTGTGAATTTTCTTTTTATTCTCTAGCTATGGACACAGATTTAAAATTCTTCTCATATTAATTAGAGGTGTTGACAAAAACTGTGAAACAACCGAAGAACTTGCTGGAATGTGCTCCATGTCAGGTCGCACAACCGGAAAAGATATCTTCAATGAAGTGATAATGTGCTTGAAAGATAAGTTGGGATTAGATTTTTTTAAAAAATGAGTGGCCATTTGTACCGATGGTCCCCGGAATATGACGGGTATTGATAAGGGAGCAGTTGCGCTTCTTGAAAATTTTACCGGAATGCAAATAACAAAATTTCATTGGTTTATATATGTGGAGGCCTTGTGTAGCCAAGTGAAAGCCATTTAGAACATGTTATGTCGGTTGTTGTCACAAGAGTCAACCATATAAGATCAAGAGGACTCAAACATCAGGCTTTTCGAGCTTTTCTTGAAGATTTAGACGCCGACTGCACAGACGTAATATACCATGCAGAAGTGGGATGGTTAAGCCGAGGGAAAGTGTTTCAGCGATTCGTTGCTTTGAAGAAGGTCAGACCTAAACTCCTAGAAGACGAAGCAAAGAAATGACCTGAGCTTGAAGATGAGTCCTGAAATCCTGACCTCTTCTTTTATGTGATATTACGACACATCTAAATTGAGTTAACGTTCAACTTCAATGCACGCAGCAACTTGTATTTGAAATGTTTGCATATGTATCAGCTTTTAAACTGAAAATGAGTCACTTCTCCAATTGTGCACAGCATGATGCACTTCTCCACTTGTGCACAGCATATTCCTCAGGACAAGCACGTCAAGTTGGGAAAGTTTCACATTAAACTTACTTCGTAAGTAATAAAAATATTCTTTGTTATTATTATTTTCTTAATCATAGCTTCCCCACCCCCGCCCCACCCCCACCCTCTCCCGTCCTATTTTTCTTTTGGCCAGCACACGTTTTTCATGAAGTACTATGGCCCACCTTACATTTTGAGTTGTGCATGCCTGGTCTCAGTCATCTGAACGTATTGCTATTAATTAACGCAGTTAACGTGTCAACTGTATCTTAAAGTGAATGGCGAATCGATACAATAGTTAGCGACGTGTTGATTTATTATCTAAGGAACTTTTTATCATAACGGAAACTTCCCGATTAAATGAAGGCCACTATGAAGTTTTTTCCCATTGCACAAACATCACAACATACTGAATGACTTAAAGAAAAATGCTTGACTCACTCAATGCCTTAAAGAGAAAGGCTTGACTCACTGAATGACTAAAATAGAAATTCTTGACTCACTGAATATGACTTAAAGAAAAAGTCTTGACTCACTGAAGGACTTAAAGAAAAAGTCTTAACTCACTGAATGACTTAAAGAGAAAATCTCAACTCACTGAATGACTTAAAGCTAAAGGCTTGACTCACTGAATGACTCAAAGAGAAGGGCTTGACTCACTGAATGACTTAAAGATAATGGATTGACTCACTGAAGGCCTTAAAGAGAAAGGCATGACTCACTGAATGACTTAAATAGAAATTATTGACTCACTGAATGACTTAAAGAGAAAGGCTTGAATCACTGAATGACTTAAAGATAATGGATTGACTCACTGAATGACTTAAAGAGAAAGGCTTGATTCACTGAATGACTTAAATCAAAAGTCTTTACTCACGGAATGACTTAAAGCTAAAGGCTTGACTTACTGAATGACTGAAAGAGAAAGGCTTGACTCACTGAATGGCTTGAATAGAAAGTCTTGACTCACTGATTGACTTGGAGGGAAAGGCTTGACTTACTGAATGACTTAAAGAGAAAGGCTTGACTCACTGAATGGCTTAAAGAGAAAAGCTGGACCAACCAGAGGCCACAAAGCCGCTCCCTTGGGTCCAGGAATCTCGTGGAATCCCTTCTCTGTCACGTGGGTGCACTTTGCCTGTGCTACTGCCTGTCTGGCAGATGGGGGTTTCGCTTCTGTTGGAGAGGTTGCTGCTGCTGACGTCCGAACACTCTGCCTCCAGAGGTGGGCGGCCAGGGGCACTCGAGGAATAACTGGGACAAAAACAGAGATCATAAAACTTAAATTAAATAAGTTTTTAGCGGGTTTTTATTAAAATTCCCTTGCTTCCAGTTGAGAAGGCACAAACACATTTAGACAGTAGAGCCCTAAATAAGTGAAAAATCTCCGCCGCCTACTTTACATTTATCTTACTTATATACGGTAAATATATATATATATATATATATATATATATATATATATATATATATATAAAAACTGGAGCCTCATGCGAACAAAAGATCCTGATATGCACATACAAATTATTATATGAGAAAATTATGAGAGACTATTTTTTTTTTTTTTTTTATTTTGTGTTTGCTTTTTTTAAGAGAAATTGCTAATAAGAATTTTTTTATAATGGCCCTGTTACTGGCATTTTGCGACTACTATCCCCCCCCCCCCCAATTCCCACTAACAAGTGCTATGGCCACTCTGCCGGGCAGTGGGACGTCAGTGAGAGTGTCGTTGGGTGGCCCAGGAACTAAACTTACCGCACATTCGTCGGTTAAAATGTACCGCTGTACATTTAAAACATACACACTATAAAAATTGTTCTGTAAATAGTAACACGTCTCTGGGCACTGAGTTAATGTAAGTTTCTTATAAACATGACGCCAGGCTGACCCTATTCCTTGCAATAGGACCTGAAGTTTGAATAATTCCTTCAAGCATTTAGACTTTTTTAGAGTCATGATCCTTTTTTTAGCATTCTTTGTTACCGGTAAAGCTAACATCTATACATCTGGTTCTGTGAAGTAAAACTAACATCACTAGATCTGTTTCTTTATTAAACCTAACATCACTGTATCTCTGTTTATTTATTAAACCTAACTTCACTAGATCTTTTTTCTTTGAGTAAAGCGTTTAGAATATAAATGGCCAGATCTGTCGACACGAGTGAATAGAATGCACATATAATACACTTATAATGCACAGTTAATGCACATAAAACGCAAATTAAATACTTGTCTTTGTATTTCAAGGGGGATAATCAGACGTAGTGATGACAAACAAAACTCTTACCAAACGGCAAATAGCAGACTGTCGGTATTGTCTCCCTTTTTTGTCTGTCTTTACCTCTCAGCCAGCGTTGGGGTTGAAACTCTTCTGGGCAGTTCACGAAATTCGAGTCCTTTAAGTAAGCTGTGTTGCTCAGCATGACTAGGGTCTGCAGGGGACATAAAAGCTAATTATTTTTTTCTGTAACACTGTTGGACATATTAAGTTATAACATGAAAAAATATTCTACAATCTCTGATTATGTACCCCTTAAAGGAACAGTAGCTCTTGTCCGCTTTTTTTGAAACAGCTGATAAAATTATGAACGAAATCAATCGATTAAAATCAAATCGATTAAACATCAACGAATTTCGTGTTGAAAAACGCAAGCTCCTAATAATTAAAGTAGTCATCGTTTATTGTGATAACGTCAGTCCAATACTTTGGGTCTATTAAGCGGCTATTCTAATTAACCGAAAATTCGACACATTTACGCGCTCATCAACAACCACTTATTGAAATGTCCTACTCAGAACTCACAACCTTCACAACTTCAGCAATATGTTTATCTTTTTGTCACAGCGATCTTTTTTTTTTCCCTTTTTCACTCACTATCTCATTTA